CCCCACATCCTCCTCCGGCTCGCCGAGACGGAGGCTGTCCGGGAATGCCGGGAGAAAAAGGGATTGGGAAAAAAGATCCCGGCGGGCCCAATCAGTGCGCGCGCAACGGAGCGCGTCGCGGCCTCCCACGCGCGCTCGCGCGCTCGCGCTACGTTTACGCAGCCTGTTGCTGTCGTGCATCTTTTTACAGCGCATCGCATCGTCGAGAGGCACCACACGGCCGCGGATTAATGGTGTCCTCGCCTGAATTCATGGTGCGAGCTCTCGCGGGCGACGTGCGCGGCGCCGCGTCCCTCAATGGCGCCCCAAATTCCAAGGCGCCGCGCAGACTCGGCGGCGGTAAATCACCGCCCACGTCATCCAGGCTGGTGCAAACATGACTGCCGGTTGCTGTTGCCGCCCATGTCGGTCGCGGTCAGAGGGCGGCAATTCAGGCGTGGCCTTCCTTCCTTATTCACCACCGTGATCTGGGAAGATTGACACGCGGCATTCGTGCAACCTTGCAATCGGCACATATCCCCCATCCCCATCCTTGCAATCGGCACATATCCCCCACCCCCATCCCCCATCGCTATCGCCGTAGCCACCGCGAAACTGTCCCGGAAATCTCATCTCGGGGCAGCTCAAAGCTGTTTACAGCTTGGTTGCATCGAAGGGGTCAACCTGGAAGGAAACCGCATTCTTTAATTGTATATCCAAGTTTTCATTCTGTATCCAATTTTATAATATACCCACATGGACGTCCCACACACGTGCAGCGAGAGGGGAACCCATCACCCCATCACCCCATCACCACAAGTGATGGACCCTCGTGACCACGTGCGGAGACTTAAACACTACGCCCACCCGTTCCCCGTCAGCGACTGCCACTGCCAATCTAACGCGCCCCGACCAATAACTGCCATTCCTCTGGCTGCATGGCGGACTGGCGCAGTTGAGAGAAAAAAAACAAAAACAGAAAACATGCGCTTTCGGCGGTAACGGCCGTTTTGCACACCCGGAATTCACGGCAGTCGGTGGACTGCTGCTTGGTCGCCAACAAGCCGCCCTAATGTTACACTTGGCGCGCGCGACGTCTCTGCCATTCCGATACACACGCGTTCCGTTGCGGCCGTCGCAACTTGCGCGCCAGACGCTGCCTGTCTTTGTTTTATTCCCGTTTTTTTTTTTTTTTTGTTCCACACACTTGTTACACGATCGAGCTGCAGTATTGTACTTGTACGGTACTGTACCCTAGGGTACGGTATGCACTCGGTGAGTAAGCAGGTCGTGGTCACAGCGACTCTGGACAAGACCCTACACAACTCAGCCGACGCATGTTTGCAGTGTACTGTACCCTTACAAGGGTACAGTATATGTAGACGGCAGTACAGTATGTGGACGGCACCGTGCGGGGTCAACAAGGCTTTCCCGAGGAAGCCGCGGTGGTTGCAAAAAGGGGGGGCTTGGCGTTTCGGATACTGCACGCCGGAGAGTCTTGCCCGTTTTGGACCGGAAGGCGGAAGCGCCTTCTCCTCTTCCAAGGACACCCCCCACTAGTGCGTCGATTATACAGGCTACAGTGCCAACAAGGAAGTGGTTAGAGGGCTGGAAGCAATCAGTTGGACCCTCTCCCGGTTGGACCCTCTCCAGTTGGACCCTCTCCAGTTGCGCACCCTCTGCCTGTCACAACCCGTCCTCTGTTTACATAAGATATGTCAGGCAGCAGGTCTCCGATAGCGTGCAGCTAGCGCGTACGGCACATGCGAGTACTGTACCCTTCGAAGGGTACTGTAGCGCAGCAGAAATCGGAAGCAGAAATGAGTTTTGGAGCACAGTAGCACACAACGCGCCGTACACCAGTGAGACCTGACGTGTGTACGGAACGGGCTGGAGCCCGAAAAACGCTCCACTAGAATCGCCTGTATGGCACATGTGACCACACAGCACACGCGCGTCACCTGACACGGGGAAACAGGTGCAACCTGCCGCCACCCCCTCTTACCTTCTCCGCACTGACGCCCGCCGCTGACCGTACAGTATGCTGTTGACAGCACGGGCTGATGTCACCCCGCGCCCCTCCGCTTCCCCTTCGCCCCCTCCCCGATGACATGTCGCCCGCCACGAGCCACCGCCGCGCGCAGTCTCGGCCGCGCACCCTGCTGCACCCCGCGCAGCCACCATGTGCAAGACAAGCGATTCCAGTGGAGCGTTTTTCGGGCTCCAGCCAGTT